GATAGAATTGTAAGTAAATATACGATAGAATCCTTAAACAGTTTCTCTATGGTGAATTGGCCGAGGGAAAATGGTGTAATGATTGCATGACGAGTAAGCTGCAGAATTCCAACATGCAAAATGACTGGCAAAATAACTCTAGATCGTCAATGCTGGAGAAAAGCAATACAGAATGATAAAAAAAAAGATATTCGTAAAGATATTCACATTAATTTCCCAGTTAGCACAGGATTCGTTATAATGTTTAGTGAATCTGGTTGCATCTTTCTAAGTAGGGCTTGCCTAAAAAATCATCAGAGACGTTACACATTGAAAGTTACCCAAAATATTAATATAACATCTACTAAAAGAAGCGCCCAACTTTGCCACATCTACACAAAAGAATGTAAGACCCTAGCAGGACTAAAAAAGCACAACCGCGCTGCCTATATCTGAGAATAAATCAAGCAATGGCATTAATCAAAATCAAGGTATCCTAATAATAAATATTGTGACTTAGAAATTAAAAAAAATCTCATTGTTTAATCCACTGCTCTAACCATTATGCCGTATCCACAACTGCAAAGAAGGTAAGAATTTAAAAAAAAAAAGAAGAAAAAAAATGATACAAAACATTGGAAGAATATGCGAAGACGAAGTTGTTGGCGTAAAAAAGGAGAAGTGTAAGTTAAAGACAAATGAAAGCGAACAGACGATAAAAAATAATGTCGGGGAAAAACCGAAAAAAATCCAATGATGTGGTGAAAAAAACAAAAAAAAAAAAACGAAGCAAAGAACCCGTCACGTGACATGGACGATGATGAAGTTGATTTCAAATTACGAATTTACGGTTCAAGTGTTATCATGGCGATGTCCTTGTCGCTAAGCAACTGCCAACTCAGCGGAAACTGCCAAATAACCGCATTTAAATTTTACAGGTATCGGCGTCAAGATGCGATTACAGGCGAACGACTTCCAGTGATTGTATGCAGTGAAAGAAAACTAATTTTTGTATTTATTTTATATATATATATATATATATATATATATATATATATATATATATATAGGCTGTTTTTAAAATCATTTCACTTAAAGCAAGGCGATAAAACCACTGTGATGGTTACTAAGTGTTAGAAAATATAAGCCAAAAACAATTAAAGAGAAAGAAAAATAAAAGAATTATGAAGAACGGGAGATAAGGATTGACATTGCATTTAAAGTTTTGAAAATCCAAGATGACTGGAGAAAAAGATGCCGGAAGAGATTTCCACACGCAAGAAGTGCGATAGAAGAAACTGTTAGCATAGAAGATACATCTAGCTAATTCATCTGCAAAATGACGAGACCTTTCAGCCAATCTAGAATTGCACTTAAATTCATAAAGTCCATAGAGTAAAGTTCATCCTAACAATTACCATGAAAATCATTATAGAAAAGGCAAAGGGAAGCTACGTTACGCAGGTGGGAAAGTGACAAGCTGAGATGCCAGGTCAGGACCAATAATATTACAGATTCTTTTTTGGGATTTTATCAAGTATCTATAAAGATATAGCAGGAGCACCAGACCAGACCAGACGTGGGATTAAGAAAAAAAAGAGGTTCCTTGTCGTTGACGATCTAGTCTAGACCAGGAATTCCCAAAATGTATTCCACAAAGAACTAGGAAATACTGGGTGAGGTCCAGGGACACCGCAGGCCGTTCTATTATTTGCCTCGTGCCAAAAGGAAGATTTTGGCAAAAAGGACGAAAGAACATTTTTAAAGAGAACATAAACGTTTTCAACACAAACCCTAACGTGCCAAAAGTGGGTTAAATAACTCGCTTAATTTTGTATAATTTTCTGTGTGGAAATGATTGACAGATCTATTTGTGTATGATATTTCGTAGGTCTCGTCGCAGTTAGAGGGTGGCGTTGTATGAGTACTACTAAGAGCGAGAAGTGAAGTTATTGGGGTTATATACTGCTACTGGAATGAAGAGAATTAAAACAGCAAACGATGGATAAACGTCTACTCCTGTTCAAAGGGCCGGGGAGGAGTGTGAACAGGGCAAGTGATAACGAAAAAAAAAACCCCTGAAAACGTTGAAAACTTTAGGGTTTCATGAAAAAGAAAGAAAGAAAAAAACAGAACTTTATCCTGCTTGAAAGCCGTGCGAAATTTGGCAAACCCTGTCTTAGAGCATTGTCAGTGAGTTCGATCCCCATTGCCTTCTGGTAGATTATTTAAAACCTGGCAAATTCTTATAGAAGCAAATCATTTTCAGGTAACTGTTAAAGAAACTAATCTAGCAGATGCTAAGTATGAAGTGAATTTGACCCTCACTGAGTGTTCCTTGTAGCAGACTAGGTAAATATTTATAAAGATGTTCAATGTTTGGTTAATGAGCTATTTTTTTTATCCGTGTCAATTGTGTAGTGAGTTCGTCTCTAATTGGGGACTCTAGTACTGCTGTGACAATAACCTTCAAACAGTACCTGCAAATGCTGTTCTTCACACAAGTGATGAAGCTCTCTTTCATCTCCCTGGCTGCGTCAGTAAGCAAAATTTTCGCCGCTGATTTCCATTCGTCTGATTAATCCACAGATGTCAAATTGAAATGCATGTTATAATAAATAAGAGAATAAAAGAACAAACATTTTGTGCAGTCATTTGAAAAAAATGAAAAAAAAAATGATTTATTCATTTTTGTAGAAAACATTCAAAGAAATCAAAGAGAAAAAAAAAATGGAAACATGGAGTGGGGAGCAAGTTTCGGGAATTGGAGGCGGAAGTGGAGGGGCCTGATCGAGGGAATGGGATGGGATTATAAGATGTCACGCCATGACGTGCCAGCTGCAATGTGCAAGGTTCAATATGCCGGTTCAATCGTTCCTTTTTTTTTTCCTTGCTCCTTTTATTTCCAGATTTGGTTGTAATAAAAAAAAAAAAAAAAATGGTGGTAATTCCCGACGGCAGCCATCTTGGTTGGCTAGCAAGAACGAGACCGGAAGTGTCATGTCGTAGCAGTCCGATGATCACTTGCGTGGTAAGTTTTCGAACAGTGTCTGTGTTATCTTGTTTATGGCGTTGCGAATCTGGTGGTGGTGAAAAATAAAAAAAAAATGTTAAATTCTCAAATCGTAAAATAAAGTCACTAGCAGTTTTGATCAGCATATAAAAAGCGCATTTAAATATTAAAAACAAATGATCTTACCCGACAAAGATGGGTATTTCTGCTAGTATATATATACAGTAGAATCCCTCATATCCGGAATCCCGCATATCCGGACATGATTTTGAATTGTATATTTGAACTATTTGGGTGATATGATAAGTTGGGTTTTGAAATTTCTGTTTTTCAGGAAATTTACTTTGGATAATTGCTTATGCTTATTTCACCCTAATGGCTTGTATTGGTGCAAAAGATGATGGGAATAAGACGAAAAAAACAACTTTGTAGTTATCGCAAAAAGTGGAAATGTTAAAACAGATTGACGCTGGTGAATGTCCATTGTAACTAATGGCTGAGTTCAACATAGAAATGTCAATATTATATGATATAAAATCTTCCAAAGTAACTATTCTCCAGCGTTCACACTGTATCAATGAACAAGAAAATAAAAAAACATGATTGGGATGAAACCTGAACTGAGACTGAAAAAGCTATTGAAAAGGTTATCAGTTTTATGGAAAGAAAGCCAGCATTCAGCTATGACGATTGTAATACCGTACGCAAAGAAGTGTCTTTCATTTAAAAAAATTCAAGAACAAAAGTAAAATGAATTTTCGAAAAAAGTTGAGAATGACATTAGAAGAGAAAGAATCATCATGCAACGGCGATTAAAAAATCCTGGTTACATTATTTGTTTTGCATACGTGGCAAACTTAATTTAATGAATTTTCATTAATATAATTTATTTCTATTTCCTTAAAATCAATTCCGTTATATTTCACTCACCATTAGCTTATTTTGTTTTCTATAAAACACTGAAAATAAACGTTCCTGATTTCAGTAATTTTATTTTAATCTAACTATAACCCACCTCATATCCGGACTTTGTAATCAATTCCTTATATCCGGAAGGCCTTCTTAGTCCGGTTGTCAGGGATTCTACTGTATATATATATATATATATATATATATATATATATATATATATATTATTTTTATTATAAGAGATTATAACAAAAACATGTTGAAATTGCTACACAATAGCTTTCGTGTAATGGATGGTTTCTTATAGGTGTTTTTTAATCGCCAAAAATATTTTGAGAGTGTTGTGCAGTTTACTATTGTCTCGACTGTCGATTAGTTGTCCTACGGCCATTGTCTGCGATGGACGTTACTCCAAGGAAGCGTACGAAAATTGTAACGCTGCAAGAACACAATGACAAGCGTTACCAGTGAGCAACTCAAAGTACTATAGACTCCCCCGGAAACTCTCCTGATTTAAATCCAATCGAGAAACTGTGGTCAATCTGCAAGGAATGAATTCGTGGAATGGACATACGAAGTACTAACATGTGCACTGGGTCATGTTTCATTAGAAAAATATGAAAAAGTAAATAAAAATGGAATTATTCATTTTGTTTCAGTTAATTTGCATTTATTTTTTTTTTACTTATTAATTATTATTATTCATTTTTTTTATAATTAGAATCTGTTACAGGTTTCTTTAGATTAGGTTAGGACCTTGTTAGCATCGAATTCTGGACACTAAAACGATCTGCCATTAAGAATCGCCTACCAACAATGCTACTTCCCTCTTAAAGTATATTGATAAGAATGTCACAAAGCCAAGGAAATCAGAATGGATGAAGAAGATTGTGCTTTGGAAGAGTTCCAAGTGGGAATCTCTTACTTGTTTGAGAAATTACCGGTTGAAAACGTGCGCTAGAAACCAACATTTGGTACTAGAAGGAGTCATTTCAAGCACGAAGTAGAATGTTCTTTTTCCACCTCGCAAATCAAGCTTGACGATTGCGTTTAGCATAAAACAGACTGTCGCCTCTGGATGTTGACTTCAATGTCCACTTTATTTAGATTGATAGACAGACAGATAGATATGAACAGATTGTAATAGATAGGTAGATAGATAATGAACAGACTGAGATAGATAGATAGATAGATAATGAACAGACTGAGATAGATAGATAGATAGATAATGAACAGACTGAGATAGATAGATAGATAGATAGTGAACAGACTGAGATAAAATGAACGCTGTGATAGATAGATAGATAGATAATGAACTTGAGATAGATAGATAATAGATAGATAGATCAGATAATGAACAGACTGAGATAGATAGATTACCGGTCAAAAACGCGCGCTCGAAATCAACATTTGTTACCAAAAAGAATCACTTCAAGCACGAGGTAGAATGTATTTCCGCCTCGCAATTCAAGTCTGTCGATTGCATTTAGCATAAAATTGACTGTCGCTTCTGGGTGTTGACGTCAATGTTTAGTATATATATATATATATATATATATATATATAGCTGGCCTATCGTATTCAAGGACAACCTACGCAATCCCTATTGCAGACGCTTGCTCAGGCGTATTTGCATTTATTCAAGACCCACAGTGCCCCCTATGTGGTTTATACTGCAACTAGACTGAGCAGACCTTAGTTACAGTTTCTGGGAAAGAGCGTGTTATCTACCGTGATCAACAATTTGAACAAGGCCAGCGCGCTTAAGCTCTCGGCCACTATGACTTGTGACTGCGTGCTAGGACAGCTATCGACGGCACCCAAGGATTCTATCTACCCGATTTCACTCACAACTCTTGGGTCACTTTCTAATGGTGCCGCACGCTGCGATCGATCTCGATCCATTCCGATAACATCAGGAAGTCTCCTTTCTGACAAATCGACCATGGTGAGATTCGAACCCGTTGTCTTATGCTCAGAATGCGAACATTCTAACCACTCGGCAACGCAGTAAAATAAACGATAATGACAAAGTCAACAGAGCCTGAATCTAACAGAATATTATTATTAATATTAATAATATTATTAATTCAGTGATACTCAAATCTGCTACTCAGAGTTTCCTGTGCTAACAATCATCAGGCGGGGTATGTGTGTACGTAGTCATGTACAATATTAAGCATAGTGTAGACAATAAAGCAATGCAGAGATAACTTAGGATTTGGCGGAGCGCAAAATTTTGCCGGAAATTAAAATCTTCCTTCGCACACAAAACCGGTTGCGAGTGAAAAGGAAAGCGAAGATAAAATATATCGAAATCCGTCGCAACTTCTGCTAAAATATCCTCTGACAAATGCTCTGTCTACAACGACAAGGGAAACAAACCATGGCAAAGAGATTCACATTTAAAAATAGGCTCTCAACAAATTAGACACTCTAGATAGATAATGAACAGACTGTGATAGATAGATACATAGATAGATAGATAATGAACAAACTGAGATAGATATGAACAGACTGAAACAGGTAGATAATGAATAGACTGTGATAGATAGATAGATAGATAGATAGATAGATAGATAGATATACAGACATACACACTATATATATATATATATATATATATATATATATATATATATATATATATATATATCATTTGATAAGACACCGGAGGTGTTGAAACAAAATGGCTATTTTGTAGTGATTTTATAATATATTCATGTTATAATTTTAAATAAATAATTATATATATATATATATATATATATATATATATATATATATACAGATACTGAACAGTGATAGATAGATAGATAGATAGATAGATAGATAGATAGATATGAACAGACTGAGATAGATGGATAGATCGATAGATAATGAACAGACTGATACATATTGATAAGATAGATAAATAGACAGATAGATAAACAGATAGATAAATAGATTGGTAGATAGATAGACCGATAGATAAGTAGATAAACTGACAGACAGATAGATAATGAGCAGACTGTGATAGATAGATAGATAGATAGATAGATTAACCGGTCTTTAAAATTTTTCAAAATTGTTTTTTTTTATGTAAATTTACTCTTATTGTTATCTGCTAAAATAGCGTAAAAAGATCAACCTCTAGAGCTTAATTAATGTTTAAATATGTGATGCCTTAGGGCCTGATACAGTTTTTAATTTAAAATTGTCTTTTTCCTGGACTGGTTTTTGGCTATATACACTGTTATTTAACCCATAGCTGGTGGAAGAATAGAGGGATTCACACCTTTCCCAGGATATTTGTTTCCCGTTCGCCACCTGCACACCCAGCATCACTATTGTTGAATTTTTTTTACAATTTGTTCTTTTGCTCCGGTTATGGATCAATATGTCACATGGTCCTATTTTATAATCTGAATTCAAAACCCGAAGACGTCTCCTGTTCACAGTTATCAGTTCTTTCGAAAGGTGCGGCTGGATCTACAGAAGCCTTCACCACTATAATCTAATCATCAGTCTAGCGGTTCAAGTAGGATCTCTTTTGTCGAAATGATCGGGAGAGGTCACTATATTACTCCCCCACTCTTATCCAGTGGAAACCGTGGAAAATAACGAACATTATATATACTGTTTTCCCATCTCTTTACATACATATAGTTAACGACGAAATTATTTGTACACCCATCAATTTTGAATATTTTTATCCATTTCTCAGAATCTAATGCCCATATAACGCTAGGGTTTTTATATGTTATTAAGCTCCCAAAAGTAATATAAAACTCATTTTTCAGAACAATAGGTTAAATACAACATATTTGACAGGCGAATTATGCAAAATAAGAAAAGACAAAATACAGTATGAAAAAAAAAAAAAGAAATGAACAGTTTTTCCAATATTAATAAGTCAATAGCTTGGCCTCTCATCTTTATAACTTTCTGCAATCGTTTTCTAATGTTTTTGATGAGATTTTAACAAGTCTTTTCTGGAATTTTCTTTAATTCTTCAGTGGTTACACGTTCTTATTCCCGAAGGTTTTTGGTGACCGACGATTTATTCGAACTTTCAATTCTTGCCATAGATTTTCAATAGGATTTAAGTCAGGACTCAATGAAAGCCATAGCAGAAATATAATCTTCTTTTTCTGAAGCCATGCAGTTACTGATTTATATGAACCTCGAGACTCAGTTTTCGTGCAGTTCTCAGTGACAATTTGGGTTTTTTTCAAAATCCAGGAAAATTCTCTGTCGGGCTAAACTTTTTAAACTTCTTTATAACGGACTGTACCTTAGATCTAGGGACTGCTAACCGGTTTGAAATAGCGCTGTAACTATTTCCTGACTTGTGGAAGTTAATTCTCTTTCTCAAGTCAACGCTAAGCTTCTTTGTCTTCCCCATCGTGTTGATAACGTAAGAATAACAATGGTGACATTCTATGCTCCACGTGATATTTTTTGCTGGAATTATCAAAAATATTCTCTTGAATAAATAGTCTAGAAGGCTTCACCGAGAAAATAATTATGTAAATTACTTATACTTAGACGAATCAATTGATTTAAAACGATATTAATAACGAACAATGTTGTCTTTTCCTATTTTGTATAATTCGCCAGTCAAATTTGTTGCATTTACCCTACTGTTCTGAAAATTGAGTTTTATATTCTTTTTTTTTTGCTTATAAACAAAGAAAAACATGGCATCATACGGGCATTAGATTCTGAGAAATGGATAAAAATAATCAAAATTGATGGATATACGAATACGGATTTTGTCGTTGACTGTATCTATAATACAAATGAATAATAGATTAGGAACAGTAATTAATAACAAATTTATAATATAAACTGTACGACACAACAAATTTGATTGTTTTCAAGTAGGGGGGGGATGCCGATTTAGAAAATGGGGGTTAGAAATGCTGGCCTTTAAAACGGTTCGATCACCGATCAGTGTCACTTGTGGGAAATAATGAACAATTTACTCGTGAAAGTGGAAACTTACCATTGTTGAAAACATGCAGACAGTTGAATTCTCATCTTTTGCGGGAAATACTGAATAATTTACTCGTGAAGGTGGAAACTTACCATTGCTTTAAATATAAGCAAACAGTTGAATTCTCATCTTTTTTGGGAAATACTGAATAATTTACTCGTATACGTGGAAACTTACCATTGTTGAAAACATGAAAACAGTTGAATTCTCATCTTTTTGGGGAAATACTGAATTATTTACTAGTGTACGTGGAAACTTATCATTGTTGAAAACATGCAGACAGTTGAGTTCTCATACTTTGTGGGAAATAATGAATTATTTACTAGTGAAGGTGGACACTTACCATCATATAAAACATGCAGACAGTTGAATTCTCATCTTCCTCGTCCGGACAGTGGATAACGCCGTCACACAATTCCGTGTCTCGTATACAGGTGGTGGTACCTGACGAATCTAGACCGGGACAGGCCAGCTGGAAACTCGAATCTTGCTTCGGACACACTACAAAGGAAAAAGAGATTAAATGCAAAAATTATTAAGAAGCCCTAAATGCCAAGTTATTACAATACAATGTACTGACAAAAGAACTCGGTTTATTTGAAAAAAAACAAAAAAGAAAAAAAAACATTGTTGATAAGGGGTGTATGACAAACACAGTCTGATCATGAAGAGACTGAGATAGATAGATAGATAGATAGATAGATAATGAATAGACTGTGATAGATAGATTCTGTCTATATTTCTGAGATGATGTATTATGTACATTATTTACATTATCCAGACTATTGTCCTCATCTTTGTCGCCATATTTATTACAACGTTTCGGCCGTTGTACGCTCCAGCCTTCTTCAGGTGGTTGGAATGTCGAACTGAACCATTTATTTCGTTCACTGGGGTAGACTGTTCTAGTTCCACGTGCCATGTTTTGATGGATGTCAGTTAACTGTTATCTCCTGTTAATTTCCCTCTGAAAGTTCTCCACTGCCTTAACCCGGTATTGAACTCATACTCTTTGGGTCCTGTCACTGGATCTAACAAACGCCTTTATCCACTGTGCCATGTGTCCTTGAGGAAGAAGGCTGGAGCGTACAGCGGCCGAAACGTTGTAATAAATATGGCGACAAAGATGAGGACAATAGTTAGATAATGAACAGACTGAGATAGATAAATAGATAGATAGATAGATAATGAGTAGACTGTGATAGATAGATAATGAATAGACTGTGACAGATAGATATGAACAAACTGAGATAGATAGATAGATAGATAGATAGATAGATAATGAGTAGACTGTGATAGATAGATGATGAATAAACTGTGACAGATAGATATGAACAAACTGAGATAGATAGATAGATAGATAGATAGATAGATAGTTGTATGTGACGAATCTAGACCGGAACACACCAGCTGGAAACTCGAATCTTTCTTTAGACACATTGCAAATGAAAAATAAATGCAAAAATTATTAAGGAGTCCTAAATGCTATGTCATTACAATAGAATGTATTAACAAAAGAACTCGGTTTATGTAACCATTTGAAAAAAAAAAAAAACTTGTTGACAAAGAATGTATGACAAACACAGACCGGTCATGTGCGTCTGCCAGAGCCAGAAATTTACGTCGATCCATCGCCCCGAGAACGATAGACCGTAAGTTTGAAATAAGTGGTCAAGTTTTTTTGGAGGCCTTCAAAAATGTTTAATTAAAATATTCTTATTCGTTTTAAAAACAACTATTTTCCTAAAATAAAATAAAAAGGAATTTCCTTCTCATTAATAGCGACGATGTTTTAGGAAATGGATCTCACACTCCCGACACACACGCACACACACATACATATAAATTGAAATTTCTAGAGCACATAATGAGGAAAGAAAGCTTGCTTGGAAAAGTTAAAACTCATAGGATATATTGAAGAGCAACAGAAGAAAGTATCAAATAACCTGCCTTGGAAAAGTTTTACGTAAAAGCAAGAAAATGATATGTTTTCTGTCAATATTTGATTAAATCAAAAACAAACAAGTAACATTTATGTCGTGTTTTCCGCTTAATATAATCTAAATTGAAAATACAAGGGAGAATTTTTTAAAATGACATACAAACACGGAAATTTTAGTCACAACGTGGGGCAGAGAATGTTGAATCATTTCACGCCAAACAAGGCAATAAAGCCACTAAGGCACAAGGAGTTACTGAGTTTGAGATAATCAGAAAAAGAAAAACATTATTAAGGAGGGAGAGCAATAAAAGAAACGAAATCAAGATGAAAGTTGACTGGGAAGCAAGAGGCTGGAAGTGTATTCCACATGAGAGAAGTGTGTTAGAAGAAACTGTCAGCATAGAACTTACGGTTGCATCTAGCCACTTCAAATTGAAAATGATGAGACCTAACTGCCAATCTGGTACTGCACTTAAATTTATAAAGTCTAGGTACCAAAGCGGAAAGCTCATCAGAACAATTAGCATAAAAATATTCATAGAAAAGGCAGAGGGAAGCTATATTATGGCTTAAATTCATAAAGTCTAGGTACCAAAGAGGAAAGCTGATCAGAACAATTAGCATGAAAATATTTATAGAAAAGGCAGAGGGAAGCTATATTATGGCTTAAATTCATAAAGTCTAGGTACCAAAGAGGAAAGCTCATCAGAACAATTAGCATGAAAATATTTATAGAAAAGGCAGAGGGAAGGTACATTAGTGCGGTAGGAAAGTGGCTGAAGCCGAGATGCCAGGTCAGGACCGATAACGTTGCAGATTCCTTTTTGGATTTTATCAAGGATCTTTAAAATCATAGCAGAAGCAGCAGACCATATGTGGTAGCAATATACAAAATATGGACGAATGACAGACTTTATAAATATGTAAGATAGATTCTGGCGTAAATTATTGTAAATAGTTGGAATGTGCTAGTATTTTTATAATATTCTTTCTATAAAATGTGAATACATAGAACACGATTCTCTAAATCTGATTGAAGTTACTCTGAGAAGGAAATTTAATTCATCAAAGAATTTCAGTATCAACCAATTCAAGTGATTTAACCAAAATGCTTAAATAAATGTTATTTTTTTTTATCAAAGTCGTCACATCTAATTTTTAGTATAATCATTTCAACGCAAGCATGGCGATAAAGCCACTAAGACGCAATGTGGGTACTGGGGGTTAAAAGTAAATGAAAAGGCTATTTAGATGGAAGCGGAAAACCCAATCCTAAATCGGAAACAAGGGATAAACCTCTCCTCCTATTCAAAAGACCGGGGAGAAGTAAGGTGGGAGGCTTGCTAAAGCGACAAACGTTACTAAGGGCAACAAGGGATAGAAGAAGAAGAAGAAGAAGAAGAAGAAGAAGAAGAAGAAGAAGAAGAAGAAGAAGGTGAAGGTGTTGATATAAAAAGATATTTTTTTCTCGACGGATCTAGTCCGGAAATTTTCACGGGCCGCTGACCGACTTTCAAGTAAAAACAGCAAATTCTCGACTAAGTCTTATCATGGCGGCTAATTTGTCATTGCTTCATATCGTTTCGTCTTTCCTCTTCTCGTTCGACATACGTGTGTCCAACCGTGCTTGTAAATATATCATCAGAAGTGTTCATATTTTGCTGTGTTTAAAACAGCGGAACATTTATTTTTTGTTGCTTTGTTGTTAGTTCTTTGTTTTGCGGCCATTCATGGCGCGGCTTCACGTCTGCGTCAGTCATAAATCTGATCACGTGACATTCGCACTGACCGATGCGAAGTTTGAAGTGATGAAGTGAACATTCATCACACATTTTTAATCATATTCCTGCGCATGCTCTCTTCTTCTTCAATTCCCTTTCTTTCTTTCTTTCTTTCTTTCTTTCTTTCTTTTACCTTCTTTTTTCTTTTGCGATTTTTCTTTCACCCTTCTTTCTTTCTTTTTTCTTTCTTTCTTTTATCAATCCTTTCTTTCTTTCTTTCTTTCTTTCTTTCTTTCTTTCTTTCTTTCTTTCTTTTTTTCTTTTTTCGATTTTTCTTTCACCTTCTTTCTTTTTTTTTTCTTTCTTTTATCAATCCTTTCTTTCTTTCTTTCTTTCTTTCTTTCTTTCTTTCTTTCTTTCTTTCTTTTACCTTCTTTTTTCTTTTGCGATTTTTCTTTCACCTTTCTTTCTTTCTTTCAGGTTTTGTCAATCACCTTTCTTTCAAAATTTTTCAATCATTTTTCTTTCTTTCTTTAGTTCTTTCCCGATTTTCTTCCACGTTTATTTTTTCATTTATCATTATTTATTCCTTTTGCGAATTTTTTTACACCCTTCATTTTCATTCATCATGTCTTTCTTCCTTTCATTTCAATATTTTTCAATCAACTTTCTTTCTTCCTTACACGACTTTTCTTTCATCTTTATATTTTCATTCATCATTTCATTGTTTCATTGATTTTTTAATTACTTTTCTTATCTTCTTTTATCATTTGTTTTTTTCTTTCTTTATTTCTTTCAGGTTTTTCTTTCACGGTTCTTTCTTTCTTTTTTTTCTTTCTTTCACGATTTTTAAATTATTTTTCTTTCTTCCTTTAGCATTTCTTTCTTTCCCGGTTCTTTCTTTCTTTCTTTTTCTTTCTTTCACGATTTTTCAATTACCCTTCTTTTCCTTCATCATTTCTTTCTGCATTTTTTTCTTCCACGATGTTTTTCACTCTTCTTTTTTCATCAATCATTTTTCTTTCACCTTTTTTTTCTTTCTATCTTTCACGACTTTTCAGTCACTTTCTTCTCCTTCTTTCTTTCGCGATTCTTCTTTCCCCTTTCTTTCTTTCTTTCTTTCTTTCTTTCTTTCTTTCTTTCTTTCTTTCCTTTCATCCGTCATTTCTTTCTTTTTTTCATCTGTCATTTCTTTCTTTCTTTCACCCTTTCTTTCTTTCTTTCGCGACTTTTCTTTTCCCTTTCTTTTTTTTTCAACCGTCATTTCTTTCTTTCTTTCTTTCTTTCTTTCTTTCTTTCTTTCTTTCTTTTCATCCGTCATTTCTTTCTTTCACCCTTTCTTTCTTTCTTTTCATCGGTCATTTCTTTCTTTCTTTCTTTCTTTCTTTCTTTCTTTCTTTCTTTCTTTCTTTCTTTCTTTCTTTCTTTTCATCCGTCATTTCTTTCTTTTTTCTTTCTTTCTTTCGCGATTTTTCTATACCCCTTTTTTTCCATCCGTCATTTCTTTCTTTCTTTCTTTCGCGATTTTTCTTTCCCCTTTCTTTTTTTTCATACGTCATTTCTTTCTATCTATCTTTCTTTCTTTCTTTCACGGTTTTGCCCACAACTATCGGTTCTCGTTTTTACCCACACTGATTTTAGTCAGCCGTTCCTGGGACTTCCTTGACAGATCCTAATTTGCAAGCATCGATACCAATTTCGCTACATTTTTGAACGATCCAAAAGACAGGCAATGTCCAATCTCATCGAATTTCCCGAATTGATAAACCTGAAGCAATTTCCTCTTCTGATCGTTACACTGCTTTTCGTTTCTGTTATGGCTTCAAAAAATATCAATGTTTAAATAATAAAATTCAATTGGGGATCAACTATTTCTAAGTTATTATAATAAGGTATGAAAGTCCGACAATTATTTTTTAAGACATTTTTTTTATGTTTATACATACTTTTTATAGATACAAATATTTAAGTAAATGCTCTGTTTATAACAAACAGTATTAAACAACATTTACCGGCCTGAATGTCCGAGAAATTTTTATATATCTATTCATTTATTTCATAATGAATATATATATATATATATATATATATATATATATATATATATATATATTTTTTAGCTTCCATTTTTGTAACATGGTTAGAACTGTGTAGCGGAAAAAACATATTTTAAATCAATTAATTTATAATATTAATGCCCTGTAAATTTACATTGAGCATTATTTTGTAAAAATAAAAATATCTATAAGAACACCGGAATATATATCTTACTGTTCTTTCTTTATATATATATATATATATATATATATATATATATATATATATATATAGTTGTGAGTATAAGATATTTAGTGTTTGCCAACTGCATCGTGCATGAAACTAAGATTTGTGCTACCGTTGAAAAAAAATGACGAAATGTATATTTATAAATATATATGTGTAAAAATTTTAGATCTCTAGAAGCATCTATTAGTATATCTGTAAAAGGACAATATGAATAAAGACAAAAGGAAAACGTGTCGTAACCGACTGAAGAAGACGAAAACGATATATATATATATATATATATATATATATATATATATATATATATATATATATATATATATATATATATATATATATATATATATATATATATACATACGATTATATAAGATAAGATCATAGTTGCTAACAGGGTAGAATAAAGCGTCATCTTCAATTAGAAAATCTGTATTCAAAATGGTATCTGAAACAGTCATGTGGTATAGTCAAGTAAACCCCACACATATTTGAAAGATGGATGCACAAATTAATATATATATATATATATATATATATATATTAAGACATTTTTATGTTTAACATTCTTTTTATAGATACAAATATTTAAGTAAATGCTCTGTTTATAATAAACAGTATTAACAACATTTACCGGCCTGAATGCCCGTGAAATTGTATAGAAAATATCCGTCCTCCGACAGGATTCGAACCTGTATCCTATACGGAAGCGTCATATAGCCTGAGGAGCTTTCGGTTAGTAAGGTCGATTTTACTGTTTTTAAACACAATTCTCCATGATTTTCTCTCATACGTTCATATCTTTTTTAAGACACATTTTCTATGAAAATTTCTCGGACATTCGGGCCGGTAAATGTTGTTAATACTGTTTATTATAAACAGAGCATATACTTAAATATTTGTATCTATAAAAAGAACGTATAAACATAAAAAAAAAATGTCTTAAAAATAATTGTCGGACTTTGTCCATTTCATAATGTGTGGCGTCATTTGTTTACATTTGGATACGCATTGAGCAGATATGAATGTATGAGTGAAAATTATGGAGACCAGGCGTCTTGACTTCAGTCACTTTCTCACCAACATGGCGTGGCTTCCCTCTGTCTTTTCTACATATATATTCATGGCAATTGCTCTGATGAGCTTTTTGCCTAGTGCCCGACTAGATGAATTGGCATCTAGATCCCACCCGTTTAATGCTGAAATAGCTAAATGGAACCGCCATTTTCTTTTCTCACACTTCTCGGCATTGAAAATCTCTTCCATTTACTTACTTCCCTGATAAACTGCAAAAATTCAAATGCAACGTCAATCGCTATCTTCTGTTTTCTTGAACCCAGTTCATCTTTTGTCCTTTCCCCAATCTTCCCTATTCTCGGTCTTCTCTTTTACTTCATTCCCTTTAACCCCCTGAGTTCTATTGTTAATCACGCTTTGCTTGGGGTGAAATGATTATAAAGTCAGCAATTCATAAACAATAGGGGAAAGCTATTTGAGGAGTGCCATGATCGTTTGCATGCTGAAGAGACATTCCATTTAAAGAAAGAAAAAGAAAATAATGAAGATCCATGATGTCCTAAAGGCCATAGCATATAAGAAAATACCATAGGGAAATTTTTATGGAAAACCGGAAATCAAAATGGCTACAATTAAAAGAAAAGGGCAAAAAAAGAGAGAAAAGGTAAAAACAACAATATTTTTTCTCTTTTATTCGGACAATAAAAAAAATGTCTGAATAAAAGAGAAAAATTATTGTCTCAATAAAAGAGAAACATTATGTAACTGTAGAAACCTAGAAGACTGCCCATTAGAAAATAAATGCTGCATTAAATCTGTGGTATACCAATGTACTATATCATCCACTGAGAGCCCTAGCACTAATATGATATACATTGGGTCCACGAAGAATGATTTTAAAGATAGATGGAGGCAGCATAAGTGCTCTTTCAATAATATAAACAAAAGAAATCAGACTTCCCTATCTAAATATTTTTGGCATCTGAAGGAAACAAATAGGACACCTAAAGTTAAATGGAAAATTATAAACAAGGCTAGAACATGTAAAACTTGGGATGACCCATGCCCTTTGTGCCTCCACGAAAAATTGCACATCATTAAGCTTCAAAATAACAATAATCTATTAAACAATAGACACGAGTTAACGGTTTTTTGTAGACATCATCAGATTTTTGGTTTGAATTATTAGCTAAAAAAAGCATAAAATATAATAACTTGTTTAATCCATAGCCCAATCATCAGATTCATGGTTTAAATAATTAACTAAAAACCTGCATACAACACCGTTCATAATCCATAGCCCAAATAAATAGTTTAAATACCCTACAAAAAAAAAAAAGATAACCCTTTACGAAGTCGTCAAAAAACAAACGTTACGACAGTTTTTTTATATGCACAAATCCCTTTCATAAAAAAAAATAAAATAAAATAAAAAAATAAATAAATAAATCTCCATAGACATGCAAACTAGACGAGGGTTAATACATCTTCCGTTTAAAATTTAGACACCCCTACCTTTCCCTGACTTGACATCTATGAAAGTAACTCTATACTGATACTTATTATTAACACCCAACACACGTCTACCCAATTTAAACAATTCGCCCTAGCTGTTACCATGGAAATTTTGATTTCAATTTTTAAAACACGTAAATTTCAGATATACGTTATTCCAAAAAAAAAAAAATTTCGCTTGAAGATGGAACAGAGCTTTTTTTTTAACTCAATTTAATTTAATA